ATCATTTCTGGTAAATGTTTTAGCTCTGATTATGAATTTGACCATGAAAATGGCATATCACGTCAAATTTTTAAACAAATCTCAGTCAAATTAGCACTAAAAAGTCTACCAGAAATGATTTAATACAACTAAAGGCAAAAAAAGTCTTATTGACCAGTCTGTCGACCACTTTATCGAATTATTTTTCCTATACAAATAAAGAGTTTATATTAAAAAAAGTTGTGTTAGTATGTCTATATTAAAGAGGGAGAGTGAATAAACCTTTTCTATACACACATATGTATATACATATAATTATAGGTATGTATTTATTTATAATTATTTATGCAAAAATTTTTTCATAAATATTTAACTGCCATAACAGAAATTTAAAGAATTATATTTGAAAACATTAATCAAATATAAATTATTTTAAATATACTATTATGATATAAACAAAAAATACGCTTTCTTATTTCGGAAAGTAATATTTATTGTATCTTTTCTCTCTTTTCTTCAAACAAAATAATTATTTTTTATATTGAATTATATTTTTTCACATTTATGGTGAAAGATGTTGCATATACTTTTTTTAAATATATATATTTCAAATAAAAATTAAAAATATTTCAAATAAAAATTAAAAATTTGAGAGAAAGTGATAAATATATAATAATATAATACAGGGTGTCCCAAAACTTTTGACACAACAGTTGTATGCCGGTAGAGAAGTGTAAAATGAATCGAAAAGTCCTCTACCACTTTGCAATTTTCGCAAGGGTTAATGAGATATTAATTATTAAAAATCGCCGAATTAGCGCGTATCCGCTCAACCCACTGCCGAATGCAAGCGCACGGCGAGATACGACCGCCCAGCGATCGTGGTCGCTAGGCGTGCGTAAAGTTGTTTATTGCAGTGACTGCGCGCGAGCAGCGAGCGGTGAGCGGTGCACGAGCGACGGCTAGTTCTTCATTCTGAATAATTCTGAATAACCTTGCGTCTTTTTATCGAAATAAAATTTTATAATACACAAGAAAATAATAAGAAATGTTTGCTTATACGTGCTTACGTAGACGTATAAAAAATAAGCGATGTATGATGCAGGATCGCACGCCGAAAAATAATGTCTCTCATCCTTTTTAAACTAAACTCTTCGTTGTCGTTATTAAATCTTTTCAATTTTTACAAATCAATTATTTGTAACAAATATATTATATTTAGCTTAATAATAGTAATTTATTTGATTTTTAAATTTATTTTATTTGAATTGAGAACTAGAAATATAAGAATGTACTCTAATAAGTAAATATGCAATATATCTTACTCTCATCTTATACTCATCAGAGCAAAGTAACGTCTTTCAAGATGAACTGTTGCTTTTCTATTTCATGAGTTGAACATGAAGTCTTATAATGTGTTATGTGATATTAATTACAGATTTTTATTAGAATAAATTAAGTCTTTTTTTCTATATAATTTTCATGTACTACTTTGGCAAATGATAATTTATGAAAATGGCACATTAACAATCCGTGTTCAGCTAATAAAACAGAAAAGCAACAGTTGATCTGTATTGACAGGCGTCACTTTATTTTGATGACTGTAAAATAAAAGTAAGATAAGATAATTGCATACTTATTTATTAGACTATCACTTCAACGCTCTAAATGCAAAAATTGTAATATTTCCATAACTTTGTCTTCCCCATAACTGCAGTGAAGTGCAATAAAATTCATAACAAGCACTACAATAAATCACTTATAGCATCAGTCAGCACACCGCACACTTGCTTATATGCATGCATACTGTCCCCATATTAAATATACGTATCATAGAATTGAAAACCTTTAATTAAAATTAAATAAACGTTTAGCTTCTAACAAATAAAAATGTAATTGCACTTCACTGCAGTTATGGGGAAGACAAAGTTATGGAAATATTACAATTTTTGCATTTAGAACGTTGAAGCGATAGTCTAATAAATAAGTATGCAATTATCTTATCTTACTCTTATTTTACAGTCATCAAAATAAAAGCCTATCAATACAGATCATCTGTTGCTTTTCTGTTTTATTAGCTGAACATGGATTGTTAATGTTATTTGTTAATGCTATTTTCATAAATTATTATTTGCCAAAGTAGTACATGAAAATTATATAGAAAAAGAGATTTAACTTATCCTAATAAAAATCTGTAATTAATATCACATGACACACTATAAGACTTCAAGTTCAACTCATGAAATAGAAAAGCAACAGTTCATCTTGAAAGACGTTACTTTGCTCTGATGAGTATAAGATGAGAGTAAGATATATATTGCATATTTACTTATTAGAGTACATTCTTATATTTCTAGTTCTCAATTCAAATAAAATAAATTTAAAATCAAGTAAATTACTATTATTGAGCTAAATATAATATACTTGTTACAAATAATCGATTTGTAAAAATTGAAAAGATTTAATAACGACAACGAAGAATTTAGTTTAGAAAGAATGAGAGACATTATTTTTCGGCGCGCGATCCTGCATCGTACACCGCTTATTTTTTATACGTGTACGTAAGCACGTATAAGCAAACATTTCTTATTATTTTCTCATGTATTATAAAATTTTATTTCGATAAAAAGACGCAGAATTATTCGGAATGAAAAACTAGTCGCCGCTCGTGCACCGCTCACCGCTCGCCGCTCGCGCGCAGTTACTGTGATAAATAACTTTACGCACGCCTAGCGACCGCGATCGCTGGACGGTCGTATCTCGCCGTGCGCTTGCATTCGGTGGTGGGTTGAGCGGATATGCGCTTATTCGGCGATTTTTAATAATTAATATCTCATTAACCCTTGCGAAAATTGCAAAGTGGTAGAGGACTTTTTGATTCATTTTACTCTTCTCTCTACCGTAAAAACTTCTTCTCTACCGGCATACAAGCGCTGTGTCAAAATTTTTGGGACACCCTGTATATATACCAATAATCGCCCCACCGGTCATATACAGGTAAAGGAGGTCAAATCGAGTAGAAAAGTCCTTTACCATTTTTTGATTTTTGTAATAAGTACTAAGTAATTAACGAAAAAAGATTGGTGAATCCGTACAAGTAAAGCGCGCGCAGCGAGAAGGACATCCCACTGCTATGCGATCACTAGGCGCGCGATGAAGCGTTGGGAGGAGCGCTCTACAAATGACAATGGCAACATACGAGCGGCGCGTAACGCTAGATCCTTGTGTCCTAGTGATCACGTAGCAGTGGAACGTCCTTCTCACCGCGCGCGCTTTACTCGCGCGGATTCGCCGATCTTTTTCGTTAATTACTCAGTACTTATTATGAAAATTAAAAATGGTAAAGGACTTTTCTACTCGATTTGACCTCCTCTACCTGTATATGACCGGTGGGGCGATTATTGCCAGACACCCTGTATACGGGCCTCGCATGGGAAATACTAACTTGGAAAATCCAGACGGGTCTTGGCTTTTCGCTATAAATTTTCCATGATTTTTCCCAGGTTTTGGTTAAAAAATATCTATCTGTATTTTTTCCTGGATCTGGCCGGATCCGATCAGGGAAAAACCAGTATTTTTATTCTGAACTTTCAGGTTATGTTAACGTTTGTTAAATATTTTACGGTCCAAAATAGTAACACCTTTGAGCATATCAAAAAGTTACGGTTCAAAATAAAAGAAAAAACGGTTTGAAACGTACAAAATGTATGATCGTATATTCGCGGCTTCTCGTCTACTGTTGAGGAAGCGAAAATATCGGGCAAGGATAAAATTAGAAATAAAAATAGCAAACATCGAAACTAAAAGTGACACGTGTGACGAAAGTGACTTGATAAAAAACAAGTATTCGCGATCTAACAATAATGAAGCTGCTGATAGTGCTGTAAATGAGAATGTCTATCATGTACGCAACGAAGAGGAAACTAGTGGCCTGGAAATATTTATGGAAAATAACAATTCAGAGCTCGAAGATGATATGTCAGATCCAGAAAGAGAAATCGAGAATTTAGAGCTCGAAGATGATATATTAGAATCAGAAAGAGAAATCAATGAATACAATGAAGGTCACAATAATGAGGACGAAATGGCTGATGAAATGGAAAAATTACGTCAGTGGATTGTAACCAACCAAATTCCACACAATCAAGCAGATGAGTTGCTGAATATTTTACGATCTAGATTAATGCCACTTTTACCCAAATCTACAAAAACGTTTATAGGAACGTCATCTGCAAAATACAATATCGAACAATCCAGGAAAAAACCCGAGTAAAATAAGAGCCCTAGGCGGGATTCCAGTATAATTTCTAAGAAAAACCGTGGAAACAAAGCCTGGGCCTGGGTACATTTTAAATAATAGATCCGTCCATGCCCGCCGTCCCCCATTACATATGGGTTCAAGCTAGATTTCCCAGATAG